AGCACCACCTAAAAATGTGGAGATTTCTCATAATATTTGGGAAAGCTTCTGTTATATTAAGCAAAAACATAATCTATCTGTTACATACAGTGTGACCTGAACTGCTCAAGACTGCAGGTACCAAAAAAGTTCAAGTGAATAATCTAGAATCACATCCCCTATCATGTACTGAAAGGAGTATGAAATACAGCATTCCACACTGGAGGCAGCAGTGTCCTGACAAGGAAGTCCTTGCAAAAGATGCAAAGGTGTAGATTCAATATAATGGGAAGGAGAATGAAGAAGTGCCTTCTTTAGTTCAGAAGTGAAGGTGGTACACAATTTCCAGATTATTTTCCCCTCTCCCTTTCCTGCCCTCCCCCTTTCTCATTCACCCCTTCCATCTGCTGGCCCTCTTCCTCTCCCCATCTATGCACTGCATGGCTGTCCTGAAGTCAGCAGTCTCCTTTGCCAGTAGCACTGCACCATGATATTCTGCCTTGCTTCAGCCCCTAAGCAACAAAAGACCTCAACCTTCAACCGTAATCTCTGAAAACCGTAAGTGAAAATACAGATTTCCTCCTTTCTCGGGAACTGTGTCACAGTTATGGAAAGCTAAGTATGGTAGCAGTGTAAGACATAAGAATCTGCATTTCTCTTTATGTTTCTATTGCTAATATGAATTATTACTCACTCTGTGAGTCATAAGAATAAGAGCTGCCAGTCACATGCTATTGTTTGGTTGTTTGTTTTAAATAGGAGCTGCTGGCATATCCTAAAGGGTGCTAGTTTTATGTATTACTAACAGCCCATTTTGACTTCTTCCTGGATCTCCTTTCCCCTGATCCTTTGGATATAATGGTCTCCTGGGCAGGTTTTATAACTGTAATGTAATAACCACAAGACAGCTAACATCTTCACTAATGGGAAACAGGCTTGGTCATATCTGATATTCCCATACTTCTAATTTTCCCTTCTGTTTCTCTGGCTACATTTTTGCTATCTCATTTTTCATCTCCCCTGAATTTGAATATTGGAGCACAACAGAAATTCATTTCCAGATCTGTTCTCTGTCTATACTTGCTATCCTGGTGACTTCATGGAGACTCATGTCTTCATCACTTACATGCTGATAATCCCAGTTTATATTAGCCATACCAAGTTGCTTCCTTGAGTTACAGGCACAACTGTTCAGCTGTCTAGTTTGTGACCCCACTTACTTGTCTATGAACTATCTTAAATTGAACTCTTCTAACACATGGCTTTTGATTTTTCCCTTTCTCCACAAACAGAAAATGTTTTTCACAATCTTTCCCACTCAATTAATTGCTAACTTCAATTCTCCACATGTTCTACTAAAAATTTCTGTGATATTATTGATCTCTTCTAATTTACAGCTGATTCATTAATCAACCACACTGCTCCTATCTTTAAAATACACCCATAATTTTACCTTTCTCACTGCTTTCACTGTTACTCTTCCTAGTACCTCATGGTGGGCCCAAGTTGCCAATACTTCTGGAAAGAACTACAACAGGCCCCTCAGTGGTTTCCCTGCTTCCCTCCTGCTCCTCTTCTGTAGTATATACTGAATATAGAAGCCCATGTGACTTTGTATTCTCCAAGCCAGTAACTTCATTAAATTGTCGTCTTAGTCAGTGTTCTATTGCTTGAAGAGACACCATGACCACAGCAACTCTGGAAAAAGAAAGCATTTAATTGGGGCTTGCTTATAGTTTCAGCAGTTTGGTCTATTACCATTACGGCAGGAAGCATGGTGACACACAGGCAGGCAAGGTGCTGGAGAAGTAGCTGGAAGTTCTTCATCTAGATCCAAAGGCACAGGAGGAGAAAGACACTGGACCTGGCTTAAGCTTTGAAACCTAAAAGCCCACCCTCAGCGACACACTTCCTCCAACAAGGTCACACCTCCTAATCCTACTCAAGTAATGCCACTCTCTATGACTAAGTATTCAAATCAAAAAGCCTATGGGGACCATTCTTATTCAAACCACCACAATTGCAAAACAAAAACAAAAACTTCCAGTTTCAGAGAGAAAGCCAAAACTCTTTCAGCATGTTCCTATACAATCTACTCCATCTCATCTTTACCTCACTGAACCCAAGTTCATGCTACTCCAGCCACACCAATTCTCTCTTACTGTTCCTCAAATCCATTATGACTTCTACTTCAGAGCTTCCATAGAGAGGAGTCCCTTTGCCTACCCTTTACTCAGATTTCTACACAGTATAGTTCCTCACCTCCAAGTCCCTGGAGCATCGCCTGAACAGTGAGGTCTCCCTTCCACATTGCCTGAGCACTTACCTAAAATGTTCTTAATAGTCCAGGTTCTTTCTCCTTACTTTTGCACACACACACACACACCAATAAAATACTATTCTGCCCTGTCCAGTCCCACAGTCATTCAGTCCCAAAGAAACACACAGAGGCTTGTACTAATTATAAACTGTTTGGTCTATTAGCTCAGGCTTATTATTAACTAGCTCTTACAACTTAAGTTAACCCATAATTCTTGTGTATGTTTAGTCATGTGGCTTGGTACCTTTTCTCAGTAAGGCATTCTCATCTTGCTTCCTCTGTGTCTGGCTGGTGACTGACTCTGCCTTTTCTCTTCCCAGAATTCTTAGTCTGGTCGCCCTGTCTATACCTCCTGCCTCACTACTGGCCAGTCAGTGTTTTATTAAACTAATACAAGTGACAAATCTTTACAATGTACAAGAGCCTTATCCCACAGTAGGGAATAAAACTGATAAAAACATTTTCATTATTAAGGTTAATATCATAACATTGTTTTCTACTGTCCATCACATTTATGAATGCTGTATCTTCTGCCATGAAATAACTGAGCAATTATTAGAATGGTTTCTATGCTTACAGGTCATGCACTAAACTGAAAAAAATGGGTTTTAATGTTTGACTGTTTTACTTCACAAGAATAATCTGTCATTACTGTCTGGAATACAATTTCTAAAGCACTTTGATTTCTTAATTATATTCTTAGTATTGTATTAAATCTGTTCACAAATTTTAATATGCTGTATGGTTCAGATTTTACTACCCACTACAACTTTTCAGGAAATCCTCTTAAATTGTCATAAATTATATAAGAATGTTTTATTTACACAAATCACAGACAAGTAGAGTACGTTTGCTGTTTAGAAGTATTTTGAGACAAATGTATAGGTTGCACAACTCTTGCAGAAGGCAAAAGTACGACCTTCCTTATAGTTTACTGAAATGAAATATAAAAATTGCAGTCAGAGTATCTTGGTGATACAGCACTTGATTCTGTATGGGGCCTGGGCTAAATCTGCAATATGAAAAATAAATAAATAAAATTTCAAGCAGTGTGGAATATAACTTCTAATTAGCGTTAGAAGAATGGAGACTTAACTTCATCTCCCTCAAATAAATCACATCAAGTTTAGGAGGCCCTCCATATAACAGGGCTCTCACAAGGAGTAGAAACAATGTAACTGCACACCCTATAAAGAGCTCAGTGTCCTTCACACCTGTGCCACTCTCGGAATTTAATCTCAGACTATCTGGAGGGGGCTGCTACTCAAAGCTACTTGATGTTAGTAAAGTTAGAGACCAAGTCCTTGGAGAAGGGCAGACAGGACAGGATTGGGGGAAAGAAAAGAGGCTGGGAAAAATCTGCTCTTCGGGTGAATAAGAAGATCAGTAATCACGACAACTTCTGTTCAAGTTAGAGATTTTGGTTTTAGGTCTAAAGCCCTCATCAGCACCACCACAGAAAAATCCTAATTTGAGGAGAATAAAATTGCTTCTCAAATTCCTTTCTAAAAAGTGGAATCTAGTGAACCTTCACTGCGGTGTCTATAAAACAACTGAGAAATATAATAAAAGCCCCCACCGTGCCTTCCACACTACAATTTCAGATTCTGTTTACATTCCCTTGGCTCCATCCTATCTGACCTTCTGTTTGCATTAGGCCCTCTTCCCCCTTATATATGTATAGAGAGCCAAAATAACACAACTTCATGGAATTTCAGCACCAGAGCGTCTTGCTTACTAGGCATCAAACCACGACGCTAATTTGAATCTTGTGAAACATCCATGAAGGAATAAAATTAAATCTGATCACAGAACCTGTGTTAAAAACTCAGAAACAGCAACACAAACACACTCTCAAATTTTTTCGTAACACAGTCACTTCGATAGAGGACAGAAACGTGCTTGGGGCAATTATCAATTCTAAGGCTCCTAACTTAAAAATTCGGCTGAGATGCTGAAAATTAGCCTTTGAATGCACCGCTTCCCAGAGAAATGTAAACATCACGACCAACTTTAAGATGCAGATCAATAAAGAGCAAAATACACACAACACCCTGTGATTTAAATTATAAACAGGAAAGCAAATTTAAGATTACTCGGATGAAGATAAACAACGGGACTGGAAATCAGTGAGGTTATTTCTCACATAAGACAGAGACCCTCAAACTGCCTTTCAGTGCGAATTTTAACCTCCCTTGAACTGCCTTGAGAGAAATGCCTGAGTCTTTCTGCCGATAATTGCTGGTAGGGAAACCTGAACTAACAAGTATGGCCAAGAGTTGAGCACCCTCCAGGGCACCGTGTGATGCGCTCCCCAAGTCCAGCCTCCGCTCTGCGGAGCTGGCTCTCTAAGATCTCCTTTAACGGGAAACCAATCACGGGTCTAAGAAAGAGAAAGTGTTAGCCAAACAACCTTTCGACAAGTTTCCTGCCGTTGATGGAATGGGAAAGGTCACAAAGCCATGGAGGTGACTGCCCTGCGGACCGTCCTCACGATCCGGTCGGGAGGAGGCTTCCCTAGAACAAGGAGCTGGGAAAGCGGAGTGCTCAGTAGGGAGGCTCGGGATCAGCTAGAAGCGACGCGCCTTGCTTCCCTGGGTGATGCTCCTTTGCAGGAGTGGTCACGACTTCCCCGAAGGACAGGCCGGTGCAAACTCCGAGAGCGCTATACCGGGGTGACAGCGCTCCCGGGAGCCCATACCTGATGATGTCGTCGCTGTGGCCGCGGTAGAACTTCTGCCGATGCTCCCGGGGGCTGTACACCACGCCGACCCCCGCCACGAAGTACACGATCTCCTTGGCTGCGGTGTAGTAGAGGTTGTTGCGGCACTGGTGGCCCCGGTAGCCGTACACCCACTCGAGCCGCAGGTGGCAGCTCGGGGCGCTCCGGGCCGCCATGTCGGGGCGCCCACCCGTCGCTG